AGGGGAAGGACATGATGAAAGAAAATACGTCCAGAGTACATCTTAGTTCTTGTTGTGAAAAATTTCCAGTGTCCCATGACTAATTAAAAAGAGAACTGTCTCCCATGCTTGGTCCCATCTACATAGGGGTTATAACTATGTTATGTTTAGCAAATCAAACATGTTTCTATCCACTAAAGATGCAGTGTTCATAAGATTATTCTGGTGAAATTAATCAAATTCTGCTGCCACCTTTCTTTGTGAAATAAATAGGATCCCATTTCGGTATCCAAAAGTCAGGAGTAAAAGCAGAAGTATTGTTGGGAGCATAGATTTTTTTTTCAAAGTTTGTCCATCATAACTGGGAGGTAGCTGGCAAATAGGGCAAAGTCAATGTCAAATTTGTAAATGTGCAATTGGTGTACAACTGCTTATGGTTTTAAATACCGGATGTCGAGAAAATATCGGATGGCCAAAATTCATATAGGATTGCGGATATCTGGAAATATCAGGGATATGTGGTAAATATTGGAATGCCATAACGAGTGTTTGCATATATAGTATAATGCACTAAAATGTAATATTAACATAATTAATGAAATCTAAGCATACAAACTATAAATAATATACGTTTAGGATCATTAATCAATCTTGTAAAACAAATAAAAGTACAGATCAACACTGCAACATTTTGTCTGATTTTTTTGGCCAAAATGTCATTTGATAAAATGGGAAAATCATGATGCCTCACCCAAAATTGTCAAACACAGTATTCTGTTTTTCAACAAGCCATATAAACAGATATATCGGCCAACATATCAGCTAATAAATCGGTCATATTACGGATATATCGCTCAAAGTAGCCAAAAAACGATAAAGGATATTTAGAGATCATATCGGTTGTGGTAAGCGCTGTAAAAGGATATATCGGGCGATATATCAGGCGATATATTGGGCCATGCCGAGGATATTTAAAAACAATCTGCTAAGGAAGACATTCAATTAAAAAAATAAAAAGATATTATTCATTTTCATGAAAAAAGGTGGGTATATCAGCCGGTATATATAACTAGCAAAGAAATATCAAGGACTTACCTTCGAACGATGAACTTTTTCACGAAACATGAGAGGCAATCTTGAAGAGACCTAAAGGACATGATAACGAGCAAACCATCAGAAAGAAAATATTTTTCATACAAATTAATGGAGAAATGATAGGTAGGGGAAACAAAAAAGGGGAACAACTAAAAGAAAGAAACAATATGATAAAACAATAAATACAAAATGTATGTCATCAAATTGGACACACGTTGTTTTGGTTCCTATCACCACCATAAACTCTGAAATACTTATCAAGCCATGGGAAGTGTTATATCTTCACCTGGGTGACTAGTTTCGGTATATAGAGAAATCCCAATTAGGGCAATGACCATTAGGTTGTTACTTGATGCAGTAGGAGCAGAAGAGACAAAGATTTAAAGTTAACCAAAGATGTGACAAGTGTAAGCAATTAAGTCATGAAACAGTAGCCAATTTTATCTCACCGAAGGTCCAGCCGTTTTCTCGCTTATATCTTCCTCCACAGGTTCCTCATTATGGGCATCAAATGCATCTGTGAAATGAACATATGAAATATAGTTGATTACTGAAAAAGGGCAAAATGGATATTCAGGCTAAAACATGTCCTGCTTAAATGCATTATCTCGCCTGTTTGTTTACCTTCTTCTACATCGTGGTCCTTTTTAATTTTCAGGGGCTTTGACTTTATGGCCTTAATTACTGGAGTGTCTTCTCCACTGTCAATTTGAATCGCATCCTGATTCTCCTTGCGAGTATCTGGTTCTTCATGATCGGAGTGATCAGAGTCTCGAGACCCTCTTGGGCTAACTTCTGGTGACGAATCGGAAGCCGAAGATAGTGTAACAACATTCTGGGTCGGTGCCTGTTTTGTAGAATTATACCCTCGCATTAGAATCAAATTGACATTACTTATCAACTGTAGTGTCCTAAGGTTATGACACAAGCCTATAGGTCTTCTAATAAATGTAATAACTATCAAAGATAACTTTGAATCCAAAACTTTCACAGTTTAATTGAACATCAAAGAAGAAGAATGCACTGAATGGTGCAAACAACTTGTTAGCGGAATGTACTAAGAGTCACCAGCCGTAGATACAAAATAAGAGATAAAAGCAACAGTAGGAATTCATAACATAACCTCAAAGTGGTCATCTGAAATTTCAAATTCTAGACGAAGAGAAAACTCTAGTTAGCATTCTAGTCATGAACCTTGCATAATAAAACATAATCACTTGTCTAGACAGAAACAACTTGAGTATTAGAACAAAATTTTGACAGGAGCCCATAAAGGGATGTTAACGGTTTGGATACGGCTCGGATATGATGCTTACTATATCCATATCCACTTAAAAATCACGGATATGCATATGGATATGGATATGTTCCGGGAAGAAAAACTCATATCCACGTCCACAAAAATTGGATACCGATAGGGATATACATGCGGATACAAAACGGATGTAAGAAAATCATAAATATTGGAAAAAATATAGTTCATGTCATACAAGAAAGTTTATTAATATGTTCATTATATTAGATAAACTAAGATTTGATCTTTTGATCAACAAAATTAACCTCAAATACATCAATTTGAGGATTAAAAGAATTGTAACTATATGACCAACATATATTTGGATAATTTTGGATACTGATCTGGATATTTCACTACATATCCATATCTGTAACTATATTCTATCGGATATAGATATGGTTTAACCATATCCGTATCGATATTTTTTTGCACCCCTAAGATTATACAGTTATAAATAATGACTTTCAGATGTAACCTACCAAAAATATCAAAATCTCTAATACTGATCAGAGTTGTCTGAAAGAAAGTTCTGATTAGAGTTTTAAAAGCATGAGAATTTGTACGAAGACAGGATATAAACTTTCCCCCCATTTTGATTACACGATTCCAAAACCCCCAAAGTAGGGTTTAATGAGCAACATACTTCTGATACCAACACGATCATAGAAGCAGTAACTGATGCAACTAAATTGAAATCCAGGACAATGAGGTTAGACCCTAATTATTTCAGAAACTAAACATTGAGAAATTTGTGTCTTAGGAATGAACTTTTATGATCACATTAACTAACTGTAGCTTGTAGCATTTAACAGTTAAATTTCAAATTTTTGCTGCTAACAACTCTGAGAAAATAAAAGAATTAAAATAAACGGAAATGAAATCGTTGAATGAAGAAAGACCTGGAATTCTCGTAACCAATCGGGAGACTCTTCACGATCGCTCATGGCTTCTGAGCTCCAAAGGGGAATGTTTGCCGCCCCTTTTTTACGCAGGGAGTAGAATTGAAACGGGTCGGGTCTCATTTACCTCTTCTGTTTGATAGATCCGAAAGCAGCCCAGGACTACAGATGGGCCTGTAGCCTGATACTGTCTGCTCACGAGCCTTTTCTCTTTTTGGGTATTTTTCTCCACTAGGATTACCTCATCAACTCCCGTTAAGTGGGGAAGCCACGCTCTTCTTTTGGGCCTTCTCCTTGCTCACTCAAGTAATTGGCATGGCATTAGGGGTGCTAAACCGTATCTTTATCCAAGGAAATATCCGTAACCGTATTTGTTAGAATACGTATATGGTTACTCAAATTTATAACCGATAGGATATGTTTACGGATATGGTTTTGTAATGAAATATCCGTATCCGTATCCAAAATATCTGAATACCTATTAGTCATACTCTTACGATGGTTTCGATTCTTAGATTATGAATTTGTGGTTAATTTTGACGATCAAGATGTCTAATCTTAACTTTTCAGTTATAATGAAGATATCAGCGAACTCTTTTGTATCACATGAACTATATTTTTCTCAATACTATCTACTTTTCTCATATCTATTTTGTATCCATACGCATATCCGCATGTATATTCGTAACCATATCCGATTTTAGTGCATATGGTTATAAATTTTCCTTACTGAGATATATCCATATCCGTATCCGAGATGAATAACCAGATATGGATATGGTAAGCATAATATCCGAACCGTATCTGGACCGAATGCACCCCTACACGGCATCGACATGGAAATTGATCGTCTCAGAGCATGTTTGGAAAGCGTATAAGCCACTTTGATGAATTTGGCAAATGGCTTATTTTGACTTATAAGCCACTAAAAAATAAGCTAGAGTACTATAACTTATTTTTTGGGGCCTATAAGCTACAACGTTTGACCAAGGAAAAGACCAATAAAACCCCTCATAATTTCATAAAATTCTAAGCCCTACTCATTAAATGATTTTTGCTCATTTCGAGCCAGCTATTCACCAAACACTTCACAATTAAAAATAAATTATAATCTACTAAAGTTACTAAACATTTTGACTTATAATTCATTTGTGGATTATAAGCCATATGGATTATAATCTAAAGTCGCGAAACATGCTCTAGCTCTTATGAGCATCACGGAAGATTGCTAGGCTCCTGAAAGTTTTCAAGACTTCCTTTATTCCCAGTACACATCAACTGGCCAATATTTGTGCACACGAACGCGAATTGGTCTAGTAGAAGATAAAAAAAATATGTTTTATTATTATTAAATATATAAGGTACACATCGATTGCGAAATCAACTTTTTCTCCTTGGTACGTAGGACCAAGTCTTGACTCTTTCAATGGCTTCACGTGACTAATAGAGTAACAGGTATCATGATGAATATTTGAGTCCAGACCAACTTGTACGTATGCAAACAATATCCATGATGGAAAAACCTATAAATATTGTACACCATGCAAAGGATCCTATGAAATATTTAACTTAAAATTAAATCATTGATGTTCTAAACCTTTCAACCATTTTCAAAACCTTTCTCTAGGAAAAGCAGAAGCCTTTACGAGCGTTGTTTAAAGAAAAATAATACAAGGCTTTTTACTTAATTAATCAACGTCGGGCTTGGCTGTCTATCCTATTAATTGTGATGGCGGATGAAAACTGCGATCTAACCTACAAGATTTGTTGTCTAAAATAATAAGAACAACCCATGTGGAGAGCTTAGCTTGGGGACAAGGATCTCATTTGTTTTAACCGAAAATTCCCATCTCTTTATCCTTGAGAGTTGAGGGGAGACGAGTAAATTAGTGTAGTTTATATAGAGACCTTTGCTTAATAATTTCGGTGAAGACTCACTCAGGTTTAACCTTGTAGGATGTGCACAAAATTAAGGCACTTGGAACAAAATTGCACTCAAAGATCCAAGTGTACTACCTTTGATTAAACAAAAAATGCGCTAGTCATATTCAATTATATATTGTTGGATTCGTTTTAAACTAGTATAAAAAAATATCCGATAGGTCTCAATAGTAAATGTACACGAAAAAAAATATCAGGTAGTGAATTCATACACGAATGTCAAAGTTTAATGATTTAAAATTTTAAATCAATTTAGTACAAATTTAATATCACGGACCTGTATCTATTTGTGGTGGAGGAGCTAGACTTATGTCTCAGTGGTGTCCCAACATAACCTATTATAGTTGTATTTAAAATCTACATTGATAAGTATAAAACTTTAGCTCTTTCAGCGTTAATTCTAGTGGTGTCCTCGATAATAAATAGATAAAAACATGCATAAAATAGACAAGACAGTGCCGTCTTGTGACATTATTGGACTCTACATGGCTCTTCCGTTGTCTGTTTGATACATTCTTATTGTTGATGGTTAATATGATCACACAATTTAATCCAAGCTAGAATCGGTTTGTTCAGTACTGAAGAGGGGCTGTTTTCTTCTCTGATTTTATGACTGGTTCTTGAGTGGGGGTGCTCAGCAATCTACACATACAGAAATTCGTGAGAGGGCGGGGATTGGTTCCTCCGTTGTACCTCTAATGATCAATTTAGTTGATCTCTTTTGTAGGGTAAAGGAAGAACCGTGTTCTTGTAAGTGTGCAGTGTATGCTTAATAGGATTAGATTTGTGAACCCCCTTCATGTTAGAAAAGTACATGTATTTATACTTTGTGCATAAGGGGTAGATTAGTCACTTCGATCGAGCACATGAGGACGGTGGCAAAGTGCGGGCTGACGGCTGAGTCAGCCTCTGCTTTACAGGTGTCGGTTGGCGACTGGAGAGAAGATCCACAGCATTAAATGAGAAGTGAGAGAGAGTATGACGGTGGCCCACGTGGTCCGATGAGTCATAAAGACTGTTGAGGCTAGAGACATGGTGATGTCTGCTAAACATTAAATGCGACATGGACACGTTGTCAGCAAGGATAAGCTCGAAACAAAAGTTATCCTCTAACTTCGCCGAGAAGTAAAGCCTTTCGAGTCGTCCTCGTGAGGCGTTAGTCAAATGGTCGAGTAGACTCCTGGTGAGTCGTCTTTGATAAAGGAGATCGACTGGTACCGCCTCTCAAGTCGACATGAGGGAAATTTGAATTTATTGGTCTCTGGCCACCAAATTGATTGAGGCACCACATAAAAAGTGCTATTGGCGTCGAATTATATTCGGACCAGCGAAAGCACCATAACACTCATTAAAACTGAGATTTTGTTTTTGTTTTCCTGTTTTCGTGCAAAATATATAGAGTAAATTGTTAATTATTCCTATCTTGTAATAAGTAGTGAAGAATCTAAGGATCCAAATGCTACAAGCCAAACCGATCTAATTCACGGTTCACGAGGGGATTTAGGATTCTGAACAACTTCGCACATTAAGAAGAAATGAATAAAACAGTTCTGCATTAAGTAGCTAAAGAATGACATGATAATGTTTATATTTGCGTTCCTTTCTAGCAGTGATATTCATAATCTGATTGGTTGATTAAACAATTAAATATGAAAATTACCAATAGAGAGTGGCGCGCTATATATGTATGGAAAACCTGTGAATCACTGGTTCGAGTCTATCAAGTATAAAAACTATATTTAAAATAGGGTATATTACAATTAGATACTGTGGCAAATCAGAAACTTTGACAAGACCATCCAAAAAATAATCAAATATAATAATATATAATTTTGTTAGCACAATTAATTAGTATCTCAACATCATCTGTTGGAAGGACGTGTGGTGGGCCACAAGCCTTGTTTTTCTCGTGAAGAGCACAGTCAACAAAAACACATGAAGATCACTTGTGGGGGCCACAAACCTTTTTCCTTCTGCTTCTTTTCGTGTGAACAGGTCCACCCGATTCATAAATTCTGCTGCTATAAATAGAGTTCCTAGGGTTTCGTGAGAAGTTGGCTTTTGGAGAAAGAAGCAGGTGCAATTGAGAGGTAGCTGCGGCTTTGGAGCAGGCGCAAAAGAAAAATCGCAGAAGAGAGAAAACCTTTTGGCGGCTGGGTGCAGAGAAGAATCGGCAGCGCAGACTTTGGAGAAAAATCTCAGGGGATTTGTGTAGCTTTTGTGAGGATATTTGTGTGAGAGATTGAGAAATTGTTTGAGGGTTTAGTTTGAGAGATTGTAAACCCTATTTGTATTCTCCTCTCTAATAGTAGATCTTCCCCTCCTTGCCCCGTGGACGTAGGCAGTTTGCCGAACCACGTAAAATTGGTTTGTTTGAGTTTGTGGCCATTGTAATAGTTTTAGGATCCCTCGACAGGTCAGTCCTAGAACTGATGAGAGGAAGAGCCGATATCTCACTTGGTTGAGATATCCGGCTTCAGATTCTTGTCTCCTCGGGTGAGACGGGATTCTTTATTTATCGATCTTTCTCTCTTATTGTGGCACTGCAAAAACCCCTATGCCGGGCGAAAGTTTCCGCCCTGCGCACGAACAAAGTTAATGGACAAGAGCCAGATTCAGATCTAGGTTTTGGTTGGAGAGTAGGATCAATTTGGAGGCTCGTTTAGGGCTTTGTGGTGATAAAGTGGGATCTTTTTGGTAAAGACTCTTATCTTTTCAGTTTTGGATCTATTCTTACGTTCGTTGGTGGCGTAAGATGTCGCGGGAAAGAAAGTGCTTCGGGTGCGAGGGCGGTGCTTTCTGGCGCGAAGACCATTCAAAGTCTGAATATCCACTCTATGAAGATAGATGTGGCAGAAATTTAATGGCACAAACAACTTTGGATATGGAGATGCGAGGTTTTGGATGCGCTGAATGCGCAGAATTTGGAGGATACATTGGAGTTAGATGGCAAGCCAGATGAGATTGAAGAGAAGGTTTTGGAAGAAGATGAATCGAACGGCGTGTGGTGTGATTAGGTCTTGTTTGACTCAAGATCTAAAATATGATGTGATGAAATGAGACTTCTGCGAAGAAGATTGGGAGATTCTCGAAAGCAAGTATTTGACCAAGAGTGTGGAAAATCGCTTGCATTTGAAGAGGAGACTTTATCGTTT